CCTCCCTGCGCTGTGAATGTTTACATGTTATGTTCAATTAAACCATGACAACATGTAATGTTTGTGTATTATTATTTTCAGCAGACTGTGTTTTTCTATTGTTGTGACTTAGATGACGTTCAGAGCACATTTTATGACCAATTCATGCAAAATTCCGCGTTATCCCAAGGGGTTCACATACTTTTTCTTGCAACTGTATCTCTGACTGTTTCTGTACACCTTGCACAATCAGAAGAAGTGGTTGCAGATTTCCAAAAGCAGTCATTCTGCTTTCAAGAGGTACAGAAGTAGTTTAAATAAAATAAATGAAAAGGTGAGGACTGGGGAACAAAACTATAACAGCAGGGCTTTTTTTGTCATAGAACGCCCAGAACGGAGTTCCGGCACCTTTTTTGGATGGAACCTTGTAGGGTAGGCAAGGCGGGTTGTATGACATGTGTGAGTTCCAGCACTTTTTTTATATATATACAAAAAAGCACTGTATAACAGTTCAATTTTTTTAATGGCACCTGAATATTACCTTACCACATTTCTGGTGCAGATTTATTAAGCAGAAATGCATGAGAATAATCTAGTCATGTAATTTAGACGTATACAAAGCTGAAAATGCTATTAGTGTGGATAAGCATGTAACCATTCAGCACTACAAACTCCATGTGCCATAGCATTTTATTGTTGCTCTGTGCACATCAGAGTACAAAATTTAAATGTGCAGGATAAAAAAAAAGAACCTTAATTATTTAAAATGTGGGCCTGTTATTCTGTTTGTGAGTTATCTATTTTTGGACAACTTTAAAAGTTGATGCAAAAGAAAAAATTAAAGGGGAAATGAGAATCATTCTATAATAAGAGCTCAGGCACTTGGGCACTGTAATTGTCACAATAATTATGGAACATTTTCTTATAATTACAGTCCATATTCAAAATTTTATGTTTCAAAAGACTGAATCTTAGCAAAGGTACCCAATAGTCTCTTCAGAAAATCTGTCTTTCCTGAGATACTTTTTAATAAGCATTACTAGATCCAAAAGCTTAACTGAATTTCAAAGGTCAAGTTCTGAACGAGTTTCATCAAACTTCAAAGCATAACAGGAAAATCTGTTTTATTCACAAGAGGGAGGACAAATTCTTCTAATGGTGTTGAACAATATTTTTGCCATGGTCTGTACTTCCTTCCACTCTTTTTTTGGCTAATAGTAACTTCTCTGATGTACAACTTCTATTAAAAAAAATATTTTGCTCCAGTACTCAAGCCATTTTTTTCTGTTATAATCTATGTGCTTGTATTAAAAATAAAATCTGAAAATTTGGACTTGAACACTGTTTGAGCTAATCCCCTCCACATCAGAAATAATTATTCCCCATTCTGTTAAAGTATATAAATCTACTATGCACAAAAAATAAAATATCTTTTATCTCTTAGTTATGTCTGCATACATATATTTGAATGGAAACTCACGGTAATAATGTTTTGCAAAAAGTCTTGCAATGTAAAACTTTGGTTCATTCAACTTTGTATCACTCACAATTTCCAAATTGGAACTTAAACTAATTTACTACCTCTTTCGAAGTCTTAAGTTTCTGGCTTCATATGCGTATAACAGAGACAGCCAACCAGGCATTGTATAGTCAACTCTGAATGGTAAC